CTATAGTAATTTATATATAGAACCACGTCACATTTCACTATGATCATTCTTCAGTTGACTGGAGAATCGTCAATTAAGTAAGATAATAATAGATTATTATTATAATAAAATTTAGGTGTATATTTAATATTTTTTGGGTCAGGAGGAATAGCTCTAATACGATTCAAAAAATATGGATTATTATAAAGAAGATAATACAGAGAACAGGCTTTCTTATATGTTTTTCTTTTACAGTTAACAGATCGAATACATATCTCTAAGATTACAATTATAAAGCCAAATAATTAAATTCTAAGTAGTTCTAATATGGGGTCTTTGCCTTGAAAATGACCTTATGGTATATGATAATGTAAAGTTATTTTCAAGGCAAAGACCCCATATAAAAAGTGAATAATTAATTTTAATCATAGCTTTAATCCTGCTATAATTAACTTACCAAAGCAATTAATAAACTATTCAAATTTGACCATTATTAGTTGATTAAATTGTATTATTTCTTTTTCATTAAGTTTTTTAGAATCAAACTTTATATTATTTGAAAATTTATTTGGAAACATTTTTTTTCAATTAATTCATGTTGACATGTGCTTCTGTATGTGGTTGGTGTTCTATTAATGTAAGAATTAATTTGTTTGGAATATAGCCCAGAACAAGGTTTGTCTGGAAATGATGAAAGAGATGATAAGGATGATGGCGATAACAGAAATTTTTTTTCTTTTTTTAGAGTTAGGTAAGACTGGAAACAGACCAGGTAATCCAAGCTGTTTTTTTTCATTATTCATTTACATTTTGAATTTTTAAATATTCGATATGCCTTAAACATCATAATCATTATCTAGAATAATTTTTTGTCTACACACAAAATACTGTATGTTCATTGACAATAACCTCACAAAATTTATTGCTAGCTAAGTGGGCTCGAGTATGTTTCTACTTCATTTATTCTCAAACAAAAAAATAAGTGCTTTATAACCACACTTCTCTGTAGCTCAGCTGGGTTATATATTCATTATAAAAGCTTTTAGATGGGAACTTTTAGATTATTTAACCTTTTTTTTTACATGCCAAACTATTTCAAGCTTTTTTTTACATGCCAAACTTAAGTTAGCATTAGCCAATTAAAATGATGTTACTTGCATATATGTGAGTACGTACGTACATATAGTGTGGGAAATCTATCACTTTATATATTAGTTACTGTTAAGTACGTATGTACATATTATTAGCTTTAGCGTATTTATTTTTATTAAGTATCCTTCCAAAAATAAGATAAATCGACAAAATATTAAATATGACAATGAGAAATTTTAAATATTTTGCCAAAATTCAAAATGTAACTATTATTTAAATTAATACTAATTCACCAAATTTTAAATTTGGACCTTTGGTTCAAATTTTAATTAATTTGCTAAAAAAAAATATGACATATATGAGAGATGTCTGGGGTCCTTACACAAAATATAATTGAAAGTCCGATAACAGGTTATAAATTTATTTTTTATTTACAGATTATTCTTATATTATTATACTAATTCTTTAAATTTTTTGTAACTTGTTTTTATAAATTGCTTTTCTATTAGTTTGGCAAAATATGAATTCATTATTTGCAAAAAAATATTAGTAAAAAAAAAGTTAGTTTTTTTTAATAAATTATTAGTAAATTAATTAACTTAACAAAATTTGATTTTTAAATACTTATTTTAATTTATAAATTTTATAATAATTAGCTATGGATAATAAAGTTTCATGCACTTGTATATTTTGAATGCAAGAAACTGATAGTTGTGGCAAATTAATAAGTGTCTCTTCTCGAACAAGGCATAGGAGACGGAAAAAAAATCTTCAAAATTTTTTTCTAATTTCAAATAATATATCTAATAATATTTTAAATAATTAAAGAAATATTGTTAGTATAGAGGATATTGAGGAAAATATTGAACAAAGTAAGATATATTTTTTTGATTATTTTGAATTAATTATTTTTAAAATTACATTAATTTTTTAAATTTTTTAGATTTAGAAAATGAGGAATTGGATGATTATAAATTGAAAGAGAATGAATTAGAAGAGAATAAATCAAAGAAAAATAAATCAGAAAAGAATGAATTAAAAGAGGATGAATCAGAGAAGAATGAATCAGAGAAGGATGAATTAGAGCAGGATGAATCAGAAAAAGATAGATTAGAGGATAACTTAGAGGAGAATGAATTAGAGGAGGATAAATTAGATAAGGATGAATTATAGGAGGATGAATTAGAGGAGGATGAATTGGAGGAGAATGAATTGAAGGAGGATGAATTAGAGGAGAATGAATTGGAGGAGGTTGAATTGGAGGAGAATTAATCAAAAAGTAGTAAAAAAATAAATTTTGAATCAGAAAAGAATTTTGATAATGTTGAATTTAATGGTAATTATTTTTAATATTTTATTTAAAAAATATTTCTTTAAAAATTTTTATATTAATATTTTTATATTTTAGATTTATCAAATAAAATAATTAAAGAGCTTCAGCTTTTTTATATCAAAGATAAACATACAATTTCTGATCAAGCATTTAATGAAATATTAGAAATTTTTAATATTTCTAATATTTCTTTTTATTAGCTTCGAAAAGTTTTAGGAAATTTGGTTTCACTAGAACCAAAGCTTATAGATATTTGTTAGAATTCTTGCTGTGTATTTACTGGACAAAATGTTAATCTTAATATATGTACTATATGTAAAGAGTCATGATATACAACTAAAAAAAAATCCAAAAAAATCTTGAAAACAATTAGCATATTTTTTAATAACAGATAGCTCAAAATTACAATATAAAAATCCATCATGAACAAAAGATCTTAGATATTGGTATGAATATACATCAAAAAAAGAATATACTTCTGAAAATAGCAAAATTGGTGATGTTTTTGATGGTAATAGATATAAAACTTTAGTAGCATCAGGCTTATTTTTAGATTATAGAGATGTTGCTTTAATTGCATCTATAGATGGCTATCAAATTTTTAAGCAAAAACGAAATGACTATTAGATAATTTTGCTTTTAAATGCAAATCTTCCACTATCAAAAAGAGTAAAAAAAGAAAACTTAATAATTAATATGGTTATATTTGGACCAAAATATCCAAAAGATTTTAATAGTTTTTTACAACCATTAGTTGATGAATTAAAGCAACTTGAATGTATTTTTTTTTAAATTTTAAATTATATGATTAATAGTATTAAATTAAAATTTTGTAGGTGGTATAACTTGTTATGATACAATATTAAAAGAGACATATAAATTGCATAGCTATATTCTTTCATGGTCTGAAGATATTCCTACTTTATCCAAAATTATGTATCTTTCAGGCCATAGTGCTAAATATGGATGCCGATATTATTATATAAAAGGATCTTATTCTGAAACTGCTAGACATATGTATTATCTACTTTGATCATTATAAGAATATAATAATTATGATTCAGAAAATTTACCAATGTGTTCTTATAATAGTTATATTCTAAATAGTAATGAATACAAAAAAGGTAAGTTTTATTATTAAATTAATTAAATTTTAACTTATTTTAATTAATTTATTTATTATATTAATAGGTGTAAATGGATATAGTATTTTATTTGAATTATCTTCAATGAATTTTCTTTTATCATTTTCAGTAGATATTATGCATACACTTTTTAAAAATGTTGCTTCTCATATGTTTTGTCACTTTATAGGAAAATTTTTTAAAAATGAAAATTTAAATAATACTGAATATAAAATTTCAAAAAATAATTGGAATGAAATTGAA